CTTGTGGTCACTAGTCCTAGGTAACAACAGGACACACACAGTTTGCCCATGGAGTAGGTGGGTTTTTTTATACTTAAGATTGAGTTTTGGCTTACTTTACCCTGGAGGTGCACGCTGTATTTGTGCTTGGGTACTCAGCACTGTTGGGTCGTGTCCTTCTTTCAAGTGACTGGAGTGGTCAGCATGTGCTCTGTATTTTTGTATTTCTGTAAATACTGCAGCATTACAGAGATTTTGGTGGTTTCCTCTGAAAGGTGTTGCATACTGTACTTGATTGGACTGAATTCTTCTCTACATTACCAGGATGGAAAAATGAGCATAATGTGTATGACAGCAAAATGCATCTTACAATACTGTTGGTTTTTTATAGTACATAGTCACTTGATGGTGTGTAAACTATGTAATTTTCAATATCTGAAGTTACAGGTGATACTGCCTTAGGATGATTTAGGATTAAGATCACACTAACAAATGCTCCTTTCCCTTTCTTTTGCCTGTATCGAATTTTAAACTGGGCTGAAATTTTCCAGATGAGGGCAATGATATGTACTGTATCAGTTGCTCCTGATACCAGGGCCAGGAAAATTTACACCTGTGTTAGTGCAGAACGGTGACTTTGGATCGGGTTGTACCCTTGGCTGTTTCTGTGGCAGGCTGCTCGCGCTGGCCATGTTAGAAGAATTTGTGCATTAAGGACTTGTGGAGTTTAATGTCCTAAAAGGTCACACCCACGTGGAGCAGGGAGAGCCTCCCATGAGGGAGGGCTTTCCCTGCAGGCACAGCTCCTGGAAGGACACAAGCTGTTGGAGGCCCCATTGAAGGAGGTAACGCAGAAGTGGTTGTAGTTGTTAGGTGGGTGGGGAGAAATAGGGAGAAGAATCTCTGCTGGCTAAGCCGTCTCCTCCTCCAGACCCCAGCAGGAAAACCCTTATTTCTGCCTTTCAGCAGCCCGTGGCCGAGGGCAGGTGTTCATCAAGGCCGCTGCTGGGGGTGTCGTGTCCCCTGCGGACTCTAGGATGTGCCGGGGTTGAACACCTCACGTTTTGCACAAGTGTCAGGCGTCTGCCTGGGGGCTGATGGCAATGGAAGACTTAAACCTTTCAGCTCTTCTGATGACCTCTGCTGGCATCAGCATGGGGGAATTCCTTTTTTCTTAGTTGTCTTTTGAAGAAGGTCCAAGTCTTAGGATTTCATACAAAACCTTATGAAACTTTCCTGCTCCCTATAATGCCTTGAGTTCAGCTCTCAGAAGTGAAGACAGTAAAACTCTCAATGCATGCTGTGCTGGAGCGTGGCTTTTTTTTTTTCTCCTGCTGTTAGACAACACTAAACTTTCTGAAATTCATTATTTTCTCAATGATTTTACAATTGCATTGGGAGTTGTGATGTAAATTTTGAGCTGAGGTTTGCAGTTTTGTCTATGATTAAGATAAATAAGCGGCTGTAGAAATCAGAGAATGGAGGCAGGGGAGTAGAATGCGCAATGGGTGAACTGACTTTAACAAGACAAACCAAGGTGTTTTGGTTCGCTTTTCAGAATTATCGCCTAGGAATGGACCTCCTAATTTAGCAACTGTCTGTTGACACCCTGCTCAAACTTAGCATTGGTGTTTGGAAATGGCTTAATGAAGTTGTTTGGGCCCCTAAACATGAACAGCTCAACAATACATTGGAGTTGTGTGTTTCTCTGGTGTCCAAAAGGCACTCTTAGAAACTGATCCTCAGTGATACATTACTGGAAAACTTTAAATTGTATTTTCAGGGATCCCCTTCACACCAGAAGGAGATGTTTACTTTAAAACGTAACACTTCCACCCCACCCCCCACTCCTCCCCTCTCATTTTATGGAAGACAGGAGAACAAAGAAATACTGAGGGTGGTTTATAACATATTGCGCACACACACAAAAAAATCATTAAATATCATTGCAAGCTGGCTGGGGGCCAGCTTTCATCACGAGGAATCCCAAAGTGCTGTGTAAACTTAAACCGTTACAGGAACAGTACTTGAGGTCCACTTGGGCGTCCACCAGCACAGAGCGGTCTGCAGTGGCTCTTACCAACGCTTTGGAGCAGCTCAAGCAGGAAGCCGAAACTTTCTTCAATCTTTTTGTTCCTCCCTGCTTTTGCACCACCTTCTCTGAGGCACTTTTGCCTAGATGGAGCCTAGATCTCTTACCTACATTTTTCCTGCTCTGTTTTTCTTTCTTGGATCTGTACCCATTGTCATAATTGCTATTGTTACACCCTCTGAAATGGAAAAAAAGATTAGCCTTGGAGACTGTCAGGGCAATGCTTTGGGGCTGTTTTGGAGAGACGCAGGCTGTTTCTCTTGCTGTGGTTTGCCAGTACAGCTGGGCTGCTGCAAAGTGTGGTCCAATGATAGGACAAGGAGCAGCAGGTGCAAGCTGGAGCATAGGAGGTTCCACAAAAACGTCAGGAGAAACTTCTTCACTGTGAGGGTGGCAGGGCGCTGGAACAGGCTGCTTAGAGAAATTATGGAGCCTCCTTCTCTGGAGACATTCAAAACCTGCCTGGACACGTTCCTGAGTGACCTACTCTGGGTGATCCCGCTTTGGTTGGATAAGATGATCTTTTGAGGTCCCTTCCAAGCCTGAACATTCTCTGATTCTGTGTGAGTCCCCAGTTTTTCTCAACTCTATCCTGTGTGCCAGCGCTGGCAGTTAAGAGCTAAGGGGCACAAAGCTCACCCTACCAAAGTGTGAATTTTTTTTACTGTGTGTTTAGCTCCTTGTTTCAGCTCACTGTGGGATCAGATAAATGGGTGCAAGCGCAGATGGAAAGGGAAGAATTAAACACATGAGGGATGGAGAGCTGGACCAGCCTCTTGGCTTCAGCTGTTAGATGGGCATGGTGCTGTCAAGTCATCATTATTTCCTGCCATGCTGGATTTCTTTTCTGGGTTTAATCTTTTCTTCACCCTACTGCTGGTTTAAAGGTGCTTCAAGGTAATTCTACTCATAGGAGTTATTTTACATCCCCTTCTGATGTTGGTTCAATTGCTTTAGGATTTTCTTTTCTCTTATTGCTGCTGATGTGAAGTAAAAAAACCAGAGGAGCGAAGTGAATAGAGGGAGGTTCAACTGAGAAGAAAGAACAAATTTCCATATTCTTTGTCCTGTTCTGCTAAGATTCATGCAGTATTTTAAGTCAAGGAGGTTAAGATTTGTCTTTTTGGTTCAGATGAAGACTCAGGAGTATATAGGGAAATAGTATTTTCGTCTGTTCTTCAGAATCAGATCTCAGCACAGAATCAAAGGCTGCTGTGCTCTTAGAAGTGTTTTATTTCAAATGGAAAAGAAAATAAAGCTGCAGTACTTAACAGAAGTTCAGATGCATTCCTGAAAATCTTTCAGGGGTTGTATGGGTTTGCTGCTTCAACTCTAACTATGAATTTGATTTAAAATGACCTCCTAAATCTGTTAATAGTCTTGCAAAGCGACTCATTTTGCTTGGCCTTGGGTGGAAACCGCGTAAATCCACCAAGTTCTGCAGGAATTCCTCCAGGAGCCAAAGCAGCTCAGAAACAATAAAGGGTACATAAATCTAAAAATTCTGGTTTGTGATATTCCTCCACATTTCCTTTCTTTTTGTTTGTTTGTTTTAATTAGGTAAACCAATTTAATCTGACTCTTCAGGAGAAGAGAAGCTATTCACCTGCGTAATTAATATTTCATTAAATATTACAGTGTCCTTCCAGAACTCAAGGTGTTTTCAGTGTGAGCACAGTGTCAGAGGCAGAGCTGAAAGGATCAAAGGTCCTGCTAGGAGAGAGCCCCTGGGATGTGCTAAGGCTGATATTACATTCACATGCAAAGGACCCTTTCTACTCTCAAATTGCAAGATTAAAAAAGTAAATACAGATTTTTTTTTAATATGTTATATATGTATATATTTGGCTATTTTTTGTTTTCAAAGTAATTCCAAATATATTATTCTGAAATTACAATTATATACCACATAGAGTTAAATTGTGCTATTAAATGGCCACTTTCTTTCTGAGGAGCTCAGACTAAGTGAAGAAATCTTGTTTCTCTTGTATGCTTTGGTATATCTGCCATGATAGATTTCAGAATGACAGGCTCCACGGCAATGTAACAACATGCAAGTAAGGGTACAAATTTATCATCGCTGCTAATTGCAAGTCTGTTGTTTTTATACTGCCATCTAGGCCTCAGCCTCAGTTGGAGACCTGTTCTGTTTGGCACTGTAGAGGAGCATGATAAAGGGTGTTTTGCTCCTTAAAAGCTTGTCACTTGCATAGAAAAGCAAGCTCACATAGGAGAAGAGAGTGGGCTGCTTTCACCAGGGCTGCGATTAGAACTGACCTTCTTTAGGAATGTGTTGGAATAGGGATTGATTTGGCCAATTTTGGGACTTCATACTGTCCTTTCTCATGGGCAGAGAGGACTTCATTGTTTTCTGGGGAGATGCAAGGTTTCAGCTATATTGCCATACAGCAGGGCTCAGTTATCATGATAAGAATAGTGGTCTACAAATAATTAATTGAGTGGAAAGTATCTTCTAAATAATAGGAAGATTATAACTGTATGTATATTTGAAAAGATCACAACTTCCGTGTCCGTATTCGGAATAATTTGATTGGATGTAGCTGTATCTCATGGCCAATGCTTGTTTTTTATAACCTGCATTTTCAGTCACGTTTGAAAGAGGTGTTCATGTTCCTTTCTGTGTGTGAAAGAAAGAACACACAGAACAAGGAAAGATTTTTTTAGATATGCTGAGGCTGCAGTGCAACTAGCTGTACTGAGAGCTTTGTTGAGTACTTGAAGTAAACAACAGGGGGTAGTAGTATTTTTTAATTAAAATTGCTATAATTAGCCTAGTATTTTATTATTGCATTTATTGACTGTGCATCTGTTAGCATTCTCCTTGGATATATAATTTATTAATTTATTTTTATTTTTTAAAAGCACTTCGTCTAGGTTAGTCTGAGTAATTCCAAAAATACCCTTCAACATGCCTGAAAATCCTGCTGCAGGTATGTAGTCCAAAGAAAACGATTACTTTTGTTAAGTGGTGAGAAATGAAGCTCTGTTCCTGACATGTACTGCTTTGTGGTGCAGATAAACAGCAGGTACTGCAGATCCTTGATCGTCTGCAAGCCAAACTGCATGAGAAAAGGGATTCCCAACATAATGAAAACCTGACTGTTTTACGTAACACACTGAGGAGCCCTTTGTTCAACCAGATACTGACCCTTCAGCAATCCATCAAACAACTGAAGGAACAAGTGAGTGTAAAATTAGGTTGTTGCTCTGATGATAACTGGTGGACTTGGAACTTAAAACAGGGTATGTAGGCGTGTGTTAATGAGGGCACGCTCATTAACGAGCTGCAACTTGGTGTGGGTGAGTGTTGTGCTACTTTTTTTTTGGGGTCAACCTAGTGAGTACAGAGCCACTACTGGAATGAGAAGTGGTGTTGCAACAAACCGGTCACAGGGAACATGCTTTGAGAGGGCTGCAGAAGAGGCAGGCACTGAGAACCACATCAGCTGGAAAAAAGCATCTGTAAAAGGCATCAGCTCTAGTACTTCGAGTTCCGAACACAGTCGAGACTGGGATCCTTTGTTTTTCACAGAAGCTAAATAATACTGTTTATCAGCTAACTGGCTGCATCTTTTCTCCTTAAAAGACGGTATCACTTGATTCCTACTGACTTGTAGGGGAATGGTTAATCTGCTTTGGGAAAGAAAATCTGGAAAACCACTTGGGAAGATTGGCCAGACAGATGCAGACATACCCAAGCTAACTTTAAAATGACTTAGCTTCAGCAGTGGAAGGAGCTTATGTGCATTGGTTTATAAATCTGACTGAGAGATTTGGTGGGCATGGATGTCAGTGACACACCTGCATAACAGGTCTCACTGTGCAGTTCACAGTCAGGCCTGCAAACTTAACATCAGGAACTGACTTGGCATTCCCCTGAGCAGCAGCGATCCTCGTCTCTGCTGTTCCTGCACCTGCCCAGCTGCAGACAGAGTGTGCTGGGTGTCAGGGGCATGAGGCCACCGCGCTGTCATTGCCAAAGGTATCGCATGTGTTCCTGCCTGGGTGGCCTGGTGGTGGCTGTGCCATTCGTTCTTCCTTCTTCCCGTGTTCATGTAGATGCTGCATCTGTTCTTGTTCCTTCCAAAGCTTGAATGTGTGTCTGCAAGCTGTTAAAAATCTATGAAAATGCAAATATATCAAACATCATACTTTGTGACTGTGGCATAATGGATCTTAGCTCCAGAATATTTGGAATTATATCTAGAAAATTTAGGTTTTCTTGAAATTCTCTTTAAGCATGTCTTTTAAGAGTGATTTCTTTCAGGATGAGATTTTTTTCAGTTTGCTGTGTCGCAGTGGGAGTGTTTCTGCCTTTCTTCATTATCTGTCAGGGCTAGAAATTGAAGTGCAAGTTCTAGCAATGGCAGCACAGCCAGTGGTAGTTTGTTCGTACCCTGTGTGCTCTATGGGCCTGAGATAATAGACCAGGCCTTTGACTCCTGAGTAACTCTTAAAAAATTTGGATTCTTATGCCAGAATCGTCTAGGTTTGTCTGACAGCTGCAGCAGTGCTTGAGTATCTCTGTTTGGTGCTTTTGCAACGTGCTAGTTTTGGAATATCAGAGTGAAAAAAGGATTAAGGGAAGAAGCATGAAAGAAATGGAGAAAATGGAGTAGAAACAGAGCTGAAACATCCAGGAAACTTGCCTTCTGAAAAACAGATTTTAAACTTGATATGATAGCTTGGTTATAACTTATATATTAACTCATATATTTATAGAGTTGAGTATACTTGTGTGAGTAGGCATGTATGAGTATATGTACGCCTGCTTCTTTGCCAGTCTTCACATGAATTTATCTATGTGGAAATACCTTCTTTTGGTTTGAATAGGTTTTTTACATCTTTACTCATTTCCAACAGCTCAATTATATGCCTCCTGACCGTTCAGTAGATTTTGATTTTACTAAGAGAGGGCTGCTGGTGTTTGCTGACAAATCGGTTGCTGCTGGCAGCGTGGGTACACCTTGCGGTTCACCTGAACCCAAAGCATCTACCTTCACTTCAAACCTGGGAGTTAATGAGTTTAACGCGATCATCCAACAGATGGCAAAGGTAAGGCTCGTGGGTTTAGTGAACCAAACTTCTTTTCCTTTAATGTGAAACATTTTCTTGCAGGCTTTGGGAGTATGTTTTCAAACATGCTCTTTTGCTGTGTAGCTGGGAGTGTGGTGCCTCCTAGCCAGTAAGAGAGTAGAAGTCCCGAGGATAACTTTTCCGTGTGTAGCGTAACGTCAGCAATGAAAAGTGGTTTGGTGGTTTTATTTTTTTTTTAATTTTTTTCTTTATTTGCCAGTTTTTCGTCTTACTTTCCACTAAACACACCAATATAGAAAAGAAATTTCAGTTACCAGAAGACCTTTTTTTTTTGGTGTTTGATGACAATAGAAAATGGACATTTTTCTGCAGAAACTTGTTTTGATGGAGACACTCGTTTTATCAAGTACCTCTTAAACTGGAAATGTACCAACTTTGTTAATATGTGAACAGTGCAAATGATAAAAAGAACTGGCAAGTAATATTTTATTTAACTCTTCATTTAGTACGTCTTAACTTTGCCAGACAGAGGCTGATTTCATTAACATGTGATGTAGCATGTACCAGATGCTTATGGAAGTTGTACAGGTGCAGGCATCTACCCATGTGGGATTGGCATTTATACCACAAATGTATTGTTCTGTGTTACTTTGAACCGTTAATTTAATTGGTTAGTTGTGCCTTTCTCTATTAAGTAGCTGTTGCTAATTGAGTACCGTAATGTAGCTGTAATATTTTGAGGGTAACTCTTCTCATTAGTCTATCATTAACTCATCAGATAAAAGATTTAGCAGTAAAGACTGCACATTACTTTGGATAAACAGCTGTGATAGCAGTGCATTCTCTATGTAGTATTTCCCAGTAAACAGCCTCAGAAACCTTTTCTTAGAACTGAAAAGCAGGAGGTTGCAAAAGCAAACTTTTTTTTTAGCATGAAGTGTGAAGTTGCAGGGAGGAGAAGGAAACTAATTTCTTTATTTAAAAGCTGTATTCCTTTGAATGCACACCTAAAATCAGCATTAAAACCAAGAGGGGCCAAATGACAAATAATTTAGTTTAGCTCTGCACCATTTCCAGAAATCCCAAATATATTGCTCTAGACAGCACTTCGTTCATAGTTTTCATCCAGTTTGGAATTCATCTCATAATGTGAATGAAGTGTGAAAGCAGCTCTTAAATTCCCTGAGGTTTCAGAACCTCCGAGTGCTTGCATATCCAATACTCTGCTATATTAAAAATAATAAATGGAGGAGCTTTTATAGGAATAACATATTCAATATTTTGCCTTTGTTTAGTCTTAGGAGGAGAATAATTCTCTTGGTGTTCATAAATTTTAAACCAGCTCATTCTGTTGCGTTAAAATTTAGTAAATTTTTTTTTTTTTTTTTCACCCCGTGTTTTATTAGGGGAGACAAATAGAATCAATAAAGATTGAAAAGCCTTCTGTTGGAGGTCTTGGATTTAGTGTGGTTGCCCTTAAAAATCACAGCTTGGGAGAAGTTGGTATCTTTGTCAAGGAAGTCCAGCCAGGAAGCATAGCTGACAGGTGAGATCTCTGTAATTGTGTTGGAAAATTGTAGTATTTCCATGAAGGGAAAACTCACAACTTTCACACTGAAAACTCTATCATTCTAACATGTTTTTCTGGGTTATCTGGTGGGATGTTGTGTTGGTGGTATCTTGAGTTCTGGCTTTTCAGCTAACTGGACGCGTGTTTTGAGGATCAGCTTTTCAGATGAGTTTTAAATATCTGAGCCATTCGTAAATGGAATTTCCAGAAATCATGACTCATTTAAGACAGTCTTGAGCACTGATTAAAAAACAAAAGACAACTCAGAAAAGAATACAAGGAAAATAAAAATTAGCCTCTGAATTTTTATGCATTGTGTCCCTGAAAGATTTTTTCCTCCTTGTTTCTTTATTTATGTGCCTATGACAATGCCCTATTTATAGTTGGTTTTACTGTTTGTTTCCTGTGTAAATTTAGATCCAGTCCTCCCGACAGATCCCTGCACAGATGTCATCATAGAATCAAGGCTTCAGGCAGTTTCTTTCCGTATTGTCTGTGGGTTTTCACCCAACAACAAAAGACAAGAGCAATCCTTTAAAAATAAAATGTGATTGTAAAACCACAAGAGTTGGCATGAGACGAATGCAGTGCTTGGAATTATGTTTCAAGAAAATGTGTCTAGATTTCAAGTCATTGGTGTCACTTTTTAAATAACACATGTCAGGAAGTGCCAACGCAGGATGACAAAAAGAGTGGGGAGAGGTTGGAATGATAATGGCTATGGGCCCGCAGAGAACACACCAGAGAACACTTAAAGAAAAGCATATTAGGCTCTTTCAAAGTGGAGACAGATGGACTGATCCGGATGTCAAAGGAGGGTGAATATCTCACTTTAGGATTTGATGACCTGCTGCTCACTTGCTTTGATGAGAGAATCTGAAATATGGTTAGCGCTTGAAGAAAGCGATTTCTGGGAAACATCTTAAACATCGCATGATAAAAAGGAAATTTAAAATGCGTTAGTTAAGATGTGCAGTTATAGTGTTTGGAGTTTATAAATTTCCCCAGCATGCTTCCAGTTTTGCTTCTGAGACAAGATCTCCTGGAGACTTTTCTTGGATTCCTACAGAGCTTTGAAGGCAGTGTCTGTCTATGTAACAGTTTGGTCTCGTGCTCGGAATGAATATTTAACAAAGGAGATGAGTGATGGTTTCACTCTTGTCACAAATCTAAATTCACCACCAGGGTGAATTAACTGTGAAATTTATATTCTCTTAAGGTATAAGTTGAACTGTGGGTTGCTCTTCAAGTTTGATATCTGAAGTTTAATACTATAAATTTTAAGTAAAACATAAATATGCAATTCATCAATTTTTAGATTAAATAATGATACAAAACCATATCACAGCCTGAGTTGTGGGTTCTTCATGTAGCACTAAACATAATGAAGAATACTTCTTCGTTTATTGTATAACTACAAAAACTTTTTTTTTCTGCCCTGTAATTCATTATTGTCAAGAAAGGAAGAGGGAATTTCATTGAATTTTGAGTAGAAGCAAAGGAAAAATGTTGAGCAAATTTCAGTACCATGATAAAGTTGGAACAAAACATGGCTGGGCGGGTCAGCACAGCCCGGAATGCATTTTATTTGTGCGTTGGTGAAGACAATATAATAAGCAGATTTTAAAAACGCGTAAATATTTAACCTTGTGTCACTGTGTATTTTGCATGTTCGCTGCACGAGCCTGTTGTGAAGTCACTCTGCCACGTTTTAAAATGTCTTTCACTGTTTTGTTAAGGGATCAAAGACTAAAGGAAAATGACCACATACTGGCCATTAATTGCACCCCATTGGATCAGACCATTTCCCATCAGCACGCTATTGCCCTCCTCCAGCAAGCCACAGGATCTCTGCATCTGGTTGTTGCTAGGGAGCCAGTTCAAGGAAACAGCAGAACTTCGGCTGTCTTATTAAGTGATATAAATCCACCTGAGACTGTGAGTTGTTGTAATGCTGTCAAAATCAGATTTTGAACTATGCTGGGTATTTTTGTATTATTTTTCTGTGTGTTTGTGTTAGCAAGCTTTACATACAGGGTGGTTGTTTTTTTTTTTGTTTGATCAGATTTTCTGTGTGATGACATTTCATTTAGACTGATGAGCATAGGCTGGGCAAAGCATTTTATGAGCATACCCAGGTGAACCCTACTTGTGCTCAGCAATTAAAGATGCTCCGATTACATCTTAAAAGAGTGTAAACATAACCTGTCATGAGCACTGCTTGAAATATCCCAACCAATTTAAACTTAAACGGTGCAGAAGAAAAAGCCTTCTCTTCCTTTTTGGTTTTTAATCTGTTAAAGAACGTCTCGATCTCTATTTATCAGGGTGGTTTTTTTTTAATCTGCAATTTACATTGATTGTGAAACCTTTTGTTTTCTTGAACAAGGAGAGATTGTCACTGGGACATGTCATAAGCTAGGGCTGAATGTCCATCTGTGTGCAAACCATATGGCCCAGGTGGCTTCACTGAGTTAGGTTGAACTGTACACCTAAATCCAGTGTTTGTACTATTGGAATCTTAATTTACTACTCTAGTATGTTTTGATGAAAATCTGGTTAAGAGCAGTGCTTTCCTTTATTCCCAGTAATTATTTCCCTCATGATTATTACAGAGCTAGTGAAATCTGAAGGTTTTAGTGGATAATCAATATTGTTTATTGCACTGAAAATTTTAAAGAATTAAACTTTAACTGCTATTTCAGTGAAAGATCTGCGCCGAACAGACTAACAAAATAAAATACAAATATATCTCTCTACAGGGGGTCTTTAAACTTCCTTTATGATATTTAACTGGCTTTGGCAAAGATTTTCAGTAAGCTAATAAATCCTTTATTCACAGAAGACTTAAATCTGCCTACTTTGCTCCATTTTGGTTTCTATGAGATATTAATCTGACAGAAACATTGGATGGGTTTGGGTTGCTTAACAGCTTTGTTGTTTTCAGATTGTCTCGTAGAACATAAGGTCAGGGTACTGTGTATCTTAGAAGCATGCTTCCAATTCAGGAGGGCAGAATATTGTACTGCGCTATTAATTCAGCGTGTACTGGTGGTGTTTAGCCTGCTTAAGTGAAATAACAGTCAGAATTTGGGCAACGCTAAGAGAAAAATGAGGCCAGTGCAAGCTCCTTGCCTCTGTTTTGCCCTGTTGTTTGCCATATTCTCGATTTATGAAAAAAAACCAGAAGGGTGGGTTTCATTTTGGCAAGAAAAATCTTAAAATTGTTTTTTCTTAGTCAGACTTTTTCCTAGTAACCTGTTATCCTGAAAGTGGAGGACAAAACGTATGTTTAAAAACAGATAAGAAACCCCACTGCGTATTTATAAGGAAATGAGGCTGGCTGAACAACATCCAACAGATCTTCAATATGTGGGGTAGAGAGAGAAAATTGCTCTGATTAGTTCTCGTCATTCCTGGTACATGTGAAAGTGAGAAATGTTAAAGATTGTCTGAAATTAAAATCTCCTGTTTTTATTAATTGCAGATTCACTGGGGCCACGTTGAAGACGTTGAGCTGATTAACGATGGTTCAGGATTAGGCTTTGGAATTGTAGGAGGAAAGTCGAGTGGAGTAGTTGTAAGAACAATTGTTCCTGGAGGATTAGCAGATCGGGTAATTTGTTATATTATGTCACTTCTTGTTTGATTGTAAAGTATAATCAACTGGCTTTGACAGTCTTAAAATAAACTAATATACTTAAACAAAAGGAAGCTGATAGCATCAAAGTCTGAATGCCAGCATATACTTTATAAATAAATATGTTGAATGTATGATTGAGGAAAAAGTCAGCACCTGATATGAATTAAGTTGTTTCTCAGACATGCTTTGGCTTTTATAACATTATGCTTTTATAACATTGTTGAACATGCAGAAATTCTGAAAGGTTGTCTAACCTCCTGACATTTTATGTACTTTTGATATTTTCAGCCTTTGGTTAGTATGGGAGAGGGCAAGTACTCTTAATGGATTTGCACATCCTCTGTAGAATTTGGCATGTTTGGCAGCATCTGTAGGGACAAACTCTCCCAAATGAATTGTCAGGCAAGAGAATCTGCCCTCTTGAAGTAATTGGGTTGCAAGATTCAGTTTGTAGATTGAAGATGTGCTAATTTTAGTGGGTTTCATTTTAAAGGGGTTTTGATCCTTGCTTTGCAGTCTGACTAGTTCAAGGGCACATCTCAGAGATTGATGCAAAACCTTTTGAAGTTACTGATATCTTTTAAAGTTGCACAGGTACGATTTGCAACCTTTGATTACTAATCTTTAAAGACCAAGTGGTAAGTGTTAACAAAATTTCAGGAGTAGAACAGGTGCAACAGCAAAACAGATTTGGGTTTTTAACTGTGAATTTGGGCATGACAGCTTACAGTATTTGAGGTCCAGAACCCATGCAAACGAGATCCGGTAACATGCAAGAGAGAGGCTAAGGTGCTTCCTCTAGTATAGGGTGGAAATGAAAACTGGAGATTTAGAGCCCTTTACTGGAAAATGTTGGCTTTTGCTTGGCTACCTCCCTCTGAACCTGTCATGTATAAATGAGTATTTTTTAATTATTGTGTAACACCTGTTTTGCTGTAAGGAATAAAGTGTTTTGGCTACAAATGAAGCATGTAAGTTAAGAGCTCACCACATTATTCTCAGCTGAATGAGACATCATTAAGAACATGGGAAATAATGAGCACATATACATGTTAAAATTGGATGAGTTTGTAAATGAGTTTGAGTTCGTTCTGGGAATAACTCCGCTATGATTGCTGTTTAAATCAATGCACCTATTGTGGTGGAGCTGTGCTGATCAATACCAGCTGAGGATTTGGCCTTATGAAGGCTTGCTTATAATAGATATGATGATGTAGGTCATGAATCATAATTATCATGTAAAAAATGGTTCGTGTGGAGTCTTGTTACCTTCAGTGGATTTACTTGGTCGACTTGGAGCTAGTCATACGAGAAAAGAATTGCCAGGCTAATACAGAAGTATTAGGGAAAACTCTTAAGAAGTTCTAAATCAAAATGCTGTACTTTTTATTCTAACCCCTCGCCAATGAAGAGTAGTCTATGAAACAGCAATACCTAACAACCTGTGAGACTGTAAAACATTGTTGCTGTCTGCTTTCTCCTAAATGAGACAAGTAACCACTTTCTTAGGAATGATGCTGTTCAACTTGTGTATCTTAAGTCAGTTTTGCAAGGTTAATTTACCACTGCTGACTGGCGTGGAAACAAAACAGCGTGTGATTGTGCAAATGATTCCTTGAATTACTGAGTATGTTGCTATGGTGGCAAATTTTATGGCATTGGCCCTTGCGGCTGTGAAGATGCCTGTACACAGTTGGAAAAGGTATTTTTATGTATAGACTGGAAACATTTTTTTGCCATTTTTTGTTGTGTTTGAAGGATGGGAGGCTTCGGACGGGTGATCACATCTTACAGATTGGAGGGACTAATGTGCAAGGAATGACGAGTGAACAAGTTGCCCAGGTGCTGAGAAACTGTGGGAATTCTGTGAGGATGATCGTTGCACGAGACCCAAAGTGTGAAATTACAGAGACTCCGCCAACTCCTGTGAGCTGGCCAGTCAGCACATTACCTTCTTTTCAAAATGGAAATGTAAGTGTCTGGTGTTTACTTGTGACATTTTTAATTATACTGGTGGCCTGTGATGAGAAAGAAGGCGAACAGTGTTCTTGAGACCTAAAGCTCTTCTTCTCTTTTGAGTTTCCAGATCGCATACGCGTGTGTTTAAGTGGTCATTATTATAGCCCTGCCTTCGTAATTTTTCCCTTCTTCCTATTAATACCTATAATCTTGGGATCAGAATGACCAGCTTTGGAGAATTTATTTCAGAGTGGATAATTTAATTACCAAGACCATAAACGTTATCAATAAATTGTACTTTTAGTTCTCCTTCTTAGCTCGTTACGTTTTTGCTAATCAATCATTTGTAAGTGGATTTAAAACTTGACTGTGAATATCCCTAGTCTGAAATCCAGAGCTCCATGGCCAGACCAGAATTATTCAGCACAATCATCTTTTTATGAAACATAAGTGTAATGTTTTCATAGTCTACGCTACTGTCTGTGATAGGAAATATATCTAAAAATTTTGAAACTTGTTTTAGCAAATCTTATCATGGTCATATCAAAGTCTCTTGTTTTTGAAGTCATTCTTTTCAGTTTTGAGTAATTAAAATCAACAAATGCTACACTAAGTGTACAGTAGGTCTTGAAACATAAACAAAGCTGTGCTTGTGTACCATCTGCTACTACTGTGCTGCTTAGATTTAGGTGTAGAATCTGAGTAGCCTTTTCTTTCTTGTCTAGTTTCTTAAAGATGAGGGAAGAGAGCTGGTTTTTTTAAGCACCGTTTTTAAAGGTCATACTAGAAGTCATATTGGTACCAACTCACCTCGCTCACTGGGATAGTCCCTGCAAAGGCAGCTTTGTGTCTTAGTCTCTTGGGAGAACTACTGTGGCTGATGCTATCGGGGAAGTGTTTTGGATTCTCCTCAAGCCCCTCTTCTTGGAAGAGAGATTGGTGTAATAGGAAACATGAGTGGCAGAGAGATGCAAGGGGTTAATCTGTGTATATAAGGTTGGAGTCTTAAAAGTGAGCCTGTCTAATACTCTAAGGCTTTCCTAGAGAATCAACATTGTTACGAAGCGTTTTTTTTCTGGCTGTATCATATTTTCCAATGCCCAAAGTACTGTTTTTCTCTCTTCTCCACCTCAAAGGCGGGCCTGTTTGTCACTCATTGACCCTGAGTATTGCAGCAGCCTTCCTAAAATATTATTCCTTCTGGACTTGTTTTTTTTCCAGTATCCTCCTTATTCCTTCTCTGTAGTTTAGAGGGAGGAAAAAAGTCACGTTGCAATTTCATCTGCTAATTTCTGAATGTCATCTATTGTTTTCTGAACTAAATAGTGTCTTCATATTTAGATGTGAAGAAACTCCTCTTTCTGGTGTTAAGAGAGATTTGCTGAATGTATTTATTGATTTAGTGATGATTTTAATGGTCCACCTTTCATTTTGTGTCTGATTTACAACAGAACTTATAATCTAATTTATCTCTGGTTTCTGAGCACTTTCACTAGCTGTGGATTTGAGAATATTGGCCTCCTTTTTTTTTTCGCCTTTTGCACACCAACAGAAAGGCATTTTTAATATATGGTTATTTCTTTTCAGTGTTGTATTAATATTTTATTTCCTTTAAATTTCCTGTTGTAGAGAAGTTATTACTGAAACTACTTGTGTCTGTGCATGGCCACAAGAAAACAGTCGTGTTGTCTGTACGCTCCAAGATACTGACAGCCGTGTTAGCAGCCTGCTTGTGCAGGCTGTATTTAGGACTCCATACTTGGATTTTTCCAGACTCCACTTCTAATGTTTCGCATTCCACCAGTAACGTTACTTAGAGAAAACTTCTGCAGTGTCAGAGCACTGTGAAGGGCTTTTGATTGTCAAAATAGCAGGACTCTCAAGGCCATAGCTCCATTTCAGATGTTGTTACAGATTTGTTTACTGTTGTGGTTCCCTCTCCTAAAGGTAAGTGGCAGAGTGTCAAAACTTATCTTCGTCCCCATCAGTGTCTTGTGGAGCAAGAGAGTCAGAAAGCATTTAATGAGCTTAATGAGTTGACTAGTGGAGGAAGGTGTGTGTGATAAGAGAGGAGATAGGTGTCCATCGATTTCTCTTTCAGTGAAAAGTGAAACAGATACGGTCATAACTTTGGCCTGCTTTTAATATAGACCCTCCCAAAGCTGGTATTTGGCAAGCGTTTGATTAAACTTCTCTTTTGTTCACTCTCGTAAGAAATGTTTTCCAATTTCCTGGTGCGTTTTTTGCTGTTGGCAGTGACAATATCCCTCTTGTTTTCATCACTTTAACAGACCTTACTGTGACCATCATCTTTTTTATTTCATTGGACTGTATCTGATTACTGAGAGCAAACAGCTTTATGTATTTTAATTTATCCCTTGCAATCCCAGTTCTATGTGCTTGATTGTTTTTCCCTTTGGTATCACCAGTGTCTTTAGTATGTCCTGTTTGAACTCTGTCTTGCAGTTCTGACCAGTTTACTGGTCAGGATAGAGTTGCACAGACATGCTGAGGCTGGCTTTGCGGGGACCTTTTCCGTGCACCTCTGCAGTGTAGGGTCAGATCTTATCGTAATCTCAGCTAGTGGCTTTTATGGTTTTTTGGTAAGTGTAGTAAGCAAAGAACAGGTCAAATTATATCCTTTTCTTTTCAAGTATTGTTTTTTCTGAGAAGTCATCAGTTCACCAATAGAACATCTACAAATGAATACTCTCCCTTCCTCTGTTAGTTCTTAAAAATAATTTTCATTGTATGTGGACTAACGAGTCTTTTCCCTCCTGTTGCCTTAGACAACCTGCAGGCTTCCAGTGCTCTCTGCAGTTGGGTGCTGTTCAAATGTGAACAGAATTGTATCAGACTTGTTAAGCCAACGCGTGTAAGATTGGCTTTTGGATTGGTTTTGTGGTTTGGGTTCTAACATAAAAACAACCAATAAGCTCAGTCAGCTACCTCATCTTCCATGTGTGCATTTAAGTGGGCAACTTCCTCTGCAGCAGAGATGTGCCTCCCACGTATACGTGCGGTTTCTTTAATTTCAGGGCATTGCACTTGTTTATATTTTGAGATTCCTTTCCTGCTTCCCCTCACTTCCTCAGTAGGTGATAACCAGGAGAGATAAGCACCCCTTTTTCTGACAGAAATGTGTGATGTGGTAACACTCTGTATTTATACCAGGACTAACATATGAAAGGGAGAGAGGAAATTCTGTGGATATTCAGGGTTTCTCTTGTTTTCTGAGATTGACTGGGAAGTTTGTTGTTACCAAGTAGCGGTAGAACCCACTCTAATGAAAACTTTTATTTTCCATAAAATATAAATATTGTAGCTTGGACAGGTCTGTGGAGGAACTATTAGGAAAGAGTTTAAAAAAGCAACTAATGACTTTGGGTGACTCATTTTTAGCACGTTTTGGATATATATCCTATATATATTAAATATGTGTCATATTTGGGATTGCAAATACGATCCTTCCTAAAATAGGAAAAGCAAAATCACTCCTCACTTCTGAAGATCTTAGTTAATCTGCAATACTGTAATGGTACTGGGAAATTTTGAGATTATGTTTTTACTCTCTTGTGCTTTATTTGTAGGATAGTACCAACCTTTTTGAGACCTATGATGTTGAACTTATAAAAAAGAATGGGCAAAGCCTGGGCATAACAATTGTTGGATACGCTGGCACAAGTGATGTAGGTGAGTTCTGCAGTATTTAGTAAAGTCTACAACGGGGGCTTCTCAAATACCTTTTATTTAACTATGGGGAGAATGGGTAGCACTTCTTCAAAATGCTGTAGCTTGCAAACTCTACGAAGAGGATATTTGGAGAACTTGCCGCAGAGTGAAATTCAGCCACAAAAACATTTGAAGAGTGGTAATTAGCTTAAAAAAATTGACTGCTGGTCTGTGAATTTTGCATGTTTATGTTGTTACCCTGCAAGATGTTAAACTCTTAACAGACAGTTCCTGCATGCCCAGACTCTGACGCAGTCATGTTCCCATCCACACTGTTCCTTATTTTGCCCCTGCGGCATAGAGCACAATTCAGATAGCGCATTTTAAGAAGAACTTCAAAACCAGAGTATCCAATATCCCTAGTTTGCATGAACTTTCGAATGGCATCTTCGGTGCGTGCAAAATAGGTCAAGGACTAACTTTGATTTGTTTATTGGCTGGAGTAGAAATGTTCAGTGAGGTTAACCAGATCTCCTCCTGCCCGGCAGGAGATGCAGAGAATCGGTGCGGGATGTGTGCGCCACCTTCACAAGGTGATGCACTTGCCTTTGGCAGGTGCCTGTTTCAGTTTCTGGGAACAGGTTCAAATACCTGCACTAGGACATGGGGACATGGAATAAGCGTTTGCTGTTTTTTATTTCCTAAATCTTCTTTAAATTTGAACTGTTAACTCATCTTTCACATATCGGTTCCACAAATGATAATATCTTTAAAATTGACTCAAACGGGACTCGAGTATTCTGGGAATGTGGTGCAGCTGGGCTTGCTCTCCAGCCCTCCTCGCTCCCAGGAGATCTTCTTGTGCTGCCGGTCAGGAATCCCAGGCCAGTGCCATGGGCACTGGGAACTGGACTGGAGAGGGCACGTGTCCCACAATGGGAGAAGGTGTGTTCGAAGCAGCGCTAGAGGGGTTTTGCTGAGTTTGGATAAACTGTGTTGGGCAGATGCCTGGGACCGGTTAGCGGTCAGGAAAGGATGGATGAAGAGTCAAGATTCACTAGAGTTAAAGATCAGCATCTTGTATTTTGCGGGAGTTTGTGGAAGGGAAGAGTTCCTGTTTCAGTGGATGATTGAGTGTTTTACTCTTTGGGGTTTTTTATTTATTTTTATTTATTTTTTCTAATTAAAAGTTTGAATTATTAATCAAACATCCAACACGACAAAGGACAGCTTTTCTGATTTCCATGCTTCTCTCTTTTTTTTTTTAAAGGAAAAATCCTTTTTATTAAGATTTAAAGTACTTAATTCTTTAGCTGTATGATGATTGAAGTCCTGATCAAAGTACTTAAGCACATACTTTACTTTTAGCTTAGGTAGTCCTATTGAAATCAAATGCTGCATGGATTTAAGTGATTGTGGTTTAAAGTCTGGGTAAGCACAAGGAGGAATCCGCAGAGGAGGCAGCCTTTTGTGAGCCATTTTAAGGAAAAAAAAAATTGACGTCAGTGTAAAGCTGATTGTGTCGGTACTGTTTTTTTTCCATCAGCGATCCTCAGTCATTCTCTGTCGAGCTGTGTGAGTGGTAAAGTGCAAGCGTTGGTGGTTTACAGAGTCATAACTCTGTGGACAGAAGTATGTGAAAAAGTCCGTAATTAAAATTCTTAATAAGAAAAGAAACTAATTAGGTTAATAAAGTGACTTGTTTCTCTTCCTCCCCTCCCCCTGCCAATAGAACCTTCGGGGATTTTCGTGAAAAATATAATACCAGGTAGCGCTGCTGACCACAACGGCCAAATTCACATTCATGACAAAATTGTTGCTGTAAGTAAAATAATCTGCTTCTACATTGCTGTACAACTAATACTTTGTTCCACATCTCAGTGTTAACATTTTAGTAAAGACTTTCTAAAATTAATTAAATCTTCTTTGCTTTGAAGAGGAAATAATATGGTGGTTCGTATTTGTTTAGGTAGGTTTGTAACAGCAATGAGATTTGGCTTGCTGTGGTTAAAATATTATTTTATATTCAAAGGAGTAGTAAATAGTAGTTAACTATGAAAGAGACAAGCATTTGAATTAGAATGTTTCAGAGTGGAGAATCTTGGCTTTTGGCCTGAAGTAAAGATGAACAACATTAGCTTCTATGTGAATTGAATGGGATTTGAGGATAAGATTTTGCAAGATGTGGCACACTGTTTATGGTCCTTATTGACTGTGCAGCATAGTGTGGATACAATCAAAATGTTAATAGTCACAATTTAGGTTTAAAAGCACAAGCTTTCTGTGTAGAAAAATTAAAAGCCATTGACTAAGAGTGAATTGAATAATAGCCAATTTTGCATTCACAGTACAAGCAGGAATGAATTACACAGCCTTTTTGTTTTAAGAGATAATATTTAGAGAGATGATTTTAAATCACTTCTAAAATATGGGCTATGCTGGACCTTCTGAAGTCAGCTTCTCCTTTGTGAAAGTAAAAATTGATACAGCCTTGTGCTTTTATCTGCAGCTTTGCAGGAGAAGCCCATATTGATGCATGATCTAACAGTGGGGTGAACGCAGTATTTTGGGAGTAAATTAAAACATCTGAATTAATGTAAGAATTGGGCTGTTCAGAGGGGATTGTAGGAACAGTTGCGTGCGTAGGCTTGTGTGGGGCGTGGCAGAAATCCATGAGAGAACTAACGGTGATAATGAACTGAACAGAGTTCTAGGCTGACTACACTTGCTGGGAAGCTTCTTCCACAATACTCCTCAAGCTGGTTTTTGTAAGCCAAAAAATTGTGGGGGGAAGTCAGTGCATGCATACATCAGATTAGTAAATTCAGAGGTTGCCCCATGACAAAGAAATTACTGTTTTGTTTCCTTTTAAAACGCATTTTGAAAATATTATGGACTTAGTGAGATGTAACTGATTTAATGAGATTGTTTTGCAAATACTGCTGTCTTGGGTGAATAACCCTATAATTTCTGCACAAAATAACATGAATGTTGCTTGCAGTGTGTGGTACAGCCTAAGAATGGTAGTTACTGTTATATGATACGATTTTCCTGGTTTAGGTTGATGGAGTTAATATACAGGATTATACCAACCAAGAAGTGGTAGAGGCATTGCGTAATACAGGACAGACTGTGCGCCTTACCTTACTTAGAAGGAAACCTTCCTCTATTATTTCTTCAGAAAGACCTACAGATAGAGGTAATCTTTCTTCCTGTTTTCTTTTGTTTCCCCTTCCCCCTGAATTTATTTTTCACTCAGTTTACCGTTACCTAATTTAACAATTAGGACTGGGTACCACATGATCCTGGATTTTATAAGAACATGCTGTAGGAAATGAGATACGTAAGAAGAAATGGAAAGAAAGAGAAATGAGAGATTTGGGAAAATTGAGTGAAAAACTCCTGTGTAACTAAGAAGGAAAAAAAAAAGAGTAGTTATTTAGTGAAGCGGTGCTACAACTTCATATATTTTGCAGCATGTGATTTATTATTTTTTCATCCATTCTTAACAGTGCAGCCAGCTGTTCCAGCCTTTGTGTCCTCTGGAGCTGTGGGGACTGAAACTAGTCTGGACACTAAGAAGGAGGAAGACCAAAAACAGAAGGATAATCTTCAAAAAGACAAGAAGCAGAGTCTACATAAAACAGGTGGTTAGGATATCTTACAGTGTCTCTTCTGAGTCTTTGGAGTTCTTTTTAATCCATTTCAGTACTGGTGGGCTGCTGGGGCTTACTTTTGCTTGGTAATGCTTTTTATTCAGGTCCCTCTGAAGTAAAGCTCTGCCTGTTGGATCGATCAACTCTTCCACCTCACCCTATCCCCAAAAGTAACACCACTGTCCACAGATTTGCCAAGAGTGTGTTCTGTGTCATCACAGAGGTCACTGATGAAGATACTAGATGATATTAGTCCCTGCAGCTATTGGACTTCTCTCATAACTGGTTGTCAAACCCTTGGTTATTGCTGTCTTTGATCCCAGTGGCCCATTTAGTTTTCAGCCTATTTAGCCATCATCAAACCTGTGCTTCCTCAGTTTCCGTATGAAAACGCTGATGTAAATGGTGTCAAAAGCTTTAGTAAAGTTGAATTGTGTTACACCCTTCATCCACATTGCTATCTTGGCGGTTGGATTGGTCAGTTATTTAGCAAATCTATATCGCCTTGATTTGCCTTCTCATCATCTGTGTCTGGAAGTAGATTCCAAGAGGAAGTATCTTATGACCTCTCCAGGGCTGAAGGTGAGACTGGCTGGCCTGTCATTCTCAGGATCTTCCTCCTTGCACAGAGTTTGCCCTTTTCCAGTCATTAGTGAACCCCCTTTGATTGCTATGTTTGGTTTGAGGTTGTTTTTTTGGAAGGCTGTAGACAGTGGAGGTGCTGCCCTTTTGGTATTTTGGAATGAATCTCGTAAGCTCTATAGAGCTGAATGCCCCCAGTTCACCAATTCCTCTTTCTAGCCCAGGTCCTGCTCTGATGACCTGAGGTGTCCTGCCTGTAGTCTTCTGATGCCAAAAATTTGTTTATCCTCCTCTGCTGCCAGGGCCCTGAACCAGGTTGCTGAGGGAACAGCACCAGAAGTGGAACTCTTGGGAGTTCACATTTACTTCCTGATCCAGTGTCACCTCAGCCATATCTATCTTCTTGCCCTCACAGGCTTTAGGCTCCTATATCTACAGGGTATTTTCACAATATTTTGTTGATTTCCTCTCCATAACTTCTGATACCCATTTGTTGCAGTTTCTTCTTTTGACTGCACACTTCTGCAGGCAGAAGAGAGGCTCTGCTCTGGCAAAAGCTAATAGGGGTAAAGACCTGATAGCTGAAATCGGAAGCTGGGCAGAAGTTCAGACTAGGCGTGTTTATAACAACAAAGGCACCTGGACAAAGGGGAAAGTTACAAAGGCACGGGTTGCTTTGGCTTTTAGCTGACTTCTGATTCAAGGCTGAAGGTCTCTCCAGAAGGTGTACTTCAATTCCCCTGCACACTTCTGGGCTCTTCCACAGGAATTTCTGGGTGAATTTCTACAGCTTGTGTTAAAGTCAGCATAAATTATCCTTATGCCTTGTAGTTTTTAAGACATGTAGATGTAATAGAGGATTCTAAATTATGGCTGTCAATGAATAACAATTTTGCTATGATGTGGAAGATCTGTCAGTATTAAAGACAACCTGGAAACGAGAGAAATGTAGCAGTTCCTATGTTCCATTCTGTTTTACTTTTCTGTCCAAGCCTTGTAACTAGACATCCTTTGCTGTGACTTTTGCATGTTCCCACAAATAGGAAGCCAAAGCAGAGGGGGTTGAGTGGCTGAGACGTGAGGTTATCAAAACATTGTTTTAGCTTTATGAATGGAAAAGCATATATTGGTTTGTAGTTACAGCGGATAAATAACTGAAGGACTTGGCAGTAGGATTTCTTTAGGGGCAGAAGAGCCAGACGCTTGCTGTGACAGAGGCTAGAGAAAAGCAACATGTGCTGTCCTGTGTCACGTACCCAGTCCTTTTTTACTGTGGAACTTTCTGTGTGTGAAGTATTTTCTATTTCTACTGAAGTGAACGATATCTCTGTAGTCAGTTCCGGACTACTCGGGATTGGGTTATCTTGTGTCACAGGCTGCAGGTGCCTGCCCTGATGCAAAGAGAACTTTCTGAGGGATTTGTTACCTAATACCTCATGCTGTGCAAATGGGGTATATCAATGCCAGGATCGGTTTATGCTGGCAACTAAAATTGCTTTTACCTGGCTTCAAGTTAATAAATTCTGTTAGTCTCAAGGGGCGTTATCTAGATATGCCTTAGTGATCGCTGTTCTGCTGATAATCAGCTTGGATCAAACTGTGCTTTTGAGCCCCTTCCATAGGAGGCCCAAACTGCTTTGATGTGGATCCACTGCCTCCCTGTAAATACGCCAAAGCCCTGAGTTTCAAAAGGAGTTTGTAACCAAGTTGTATGTCTGTGAGTGGCTCCCCTTCAATTCTAGCGTTGTGCAGATCTCCTAATCTCCTTCCTTGGAGCTCTGCACAGGGTGGTGCTGGTGCACCTGGGGCTGGCAGGGACTCTGTTGCCTGGATCCCACAGCTCCTGACTGGACCTACGCCGATTCCTTGCTGTATCTGCGCTGCATTCCCCAGTGCATCCGGTAGCACTGTGAGAATTTTCTGTTCTCGTATCCCTTAGCCTGGAGAATTCAGGATAACGTGTTTGTATGCATGGCATGTCTTGGGATACCGAAATTTAAACACAGAGGATACGATTTGTTTGCAGTTGGATACTGCCCTTCCTGCCATCTATCATGGCTGGTCCTCCTTGCGCGGGGAGGGTAATGCGCTGGGCATGGCTCTGAAACTGAGTAAGCCATTTAATGCAATGGTAAGCAAGTGTCATTGCTTGATTAAACTGGGGTTTTCATTGTCCAAAAACCACTTTTGAGTTACAAAGATCTGCAAAAGCTTTATGCAACCATAAAATATGTGTGTGTGTGTGTGTATCTCTGTTAAAAAGTTGAAATACTTAGTTGCAAATTCTACTGGTACTGAAATACGATGTATAAGATTTCACCTTGGAAAAGAGTTTAATGGACAAGTTTAAATTCCAAAGATAGGTGCTTATTTTGGACATGGTGACGGGCACTTCATCATAATGGTGCTAAAGTAAATACTGTTAATTTAAGACTCTGACTAAACTCTGGAAGTACTTTTAGCAGTTTAATGTAAAAAGTATGTTTTATAAAATATGTATTACTTCCCTTTAAGCCTGATTGTGTGAAATTCTTATTAAATTGTGTTTCCTGGAGAGGTATTAAATAATAATTCTGACTGGGCAAAACTGTGCTTGAGCAGTTCTGTTACAAAAGCAACATGGTTTAGGATGCAATGTGCATGAGGCCTGAAACTTTCTGCAGGCAGCCCAGAGGCAATTAACTTCCCAGCTGCAATGGCAAGACTGCAGACTGGGCAGAACTGCTTTCTTTTTTGCTTGCAGCAGTATGCAAACCCCAAAGATATGATGGGGTTAGAAAGGCTCTTGTAGACGGCTGGGGAAAGAATATCCAACAGGAGGGCAAATAAAGGTAGTGAAGTGCATTAGAACACAGCACACATCCTTGCCTAGGAAGTTTGTGAAACCAGGAGGACACTGCAAGAAGGAAAGATCCTAGTTTTGACCAGGAAAGATGATTTTTACAATCCGCTTGTGATTTCTTCTTGATGTTTGCTAGGTAGAAATGAAAAACTGTATGGTAGTGCAGGCAGGAGGACAGACTAAGTATATTAGAAGTTGTTGCTAATGAAAGCTGTGCCTGGGAAGAGCTTTCATATCTGAGGCCTTGCACATTATCAAAGATGTGGTACATATCTCAGGTCATGAGAAATCCAGCTGGGTGAGAGACTAGAAGGAAACTTCCTATTTGGTGCCGTGTGGAAAAAGCTGCTGAAGGAAAAAGGAGCATTGGAAGTGAGCTGGGTGATACCACTGGACTTGAATACATGTAATGTGAATCCCTCCAGCCAACATTCCCTCGGTTCTGAGGAAGTTACAAGCAAAGACTTCATAGTGTGCTTGAAAGGAAGAAAGAAAGGGGTGAATCTTCAAATCACAGACTGGAGATGTGCATCAGCACCTGCTCTGAACAACTCGTAGGTTTTGGTAATGTGTTTTGGAAGTGACCAAAAAAAATCTGTATTCAGCCAACTGAACGCAGCTTACGGTTACTGAACTGTGCTTTGAGCTTGATCCTAAGATTCATTACTCCTAGTGAACCTGAAAAATCTATATTTGGCTGCACAGGGGATTGCAGGTGTTTAGGTCCTGTGTGTTCACGCTATAACTTTGTAAAAGAAAACAACCCCAAAATGTAAGAGACTGAAGAATTTCTGTCCCTATGGATTTCTGCAAGCAGAAGGACTAGAAAAATGCACTGATGTTCTGATTTTGTTACTGTTGGGAAGTAAAGATAGTGACCAGCCTGTGCATAATAACAAGGCTCACGAAGACAGTGTCTTCTTGGAAACTTCAGTTGAATTTAAATGGAGGGGGAAAAAGAAGCCCAAACCCTTAAGTCACAGCTGAGAATTTTAGGACGATTTTTCTTGCTTTTTTTTTTTTTAAAGGAGATAATTTATTTTAGGGTGACTGTGGGCTGTATTTACAAAGCCAAGTGTTTTATTCTTGGTGAGGTTTCTTTTTGGTGACAGAAGATAGTGATCTGCATTGCTGGAATCTTTGAATATCTGTTTCTACTTGAGCCTATAGGTTAAAGACACTCTGGCTATTTCTAAGTGAAATCTCAGTTGTTACACTCGGAAAAGTGTGGTTTCTCAGTGTAGATCAGGCAGAATTTGCCATGGCAGGTACCATGACAGGTTATGTTATATGAGTTAACTTAAATCTTTGTTTTTAATGAGCGGAAAACTTCAAAGTTATAAAAATGATATAACGAGGATTGCAAAAGCTCATGTTTTATCTTCGCAAAGCCTGTGTTTTATCTTTGCAGTCTACAAAGGTGTTGAAAGCAGAGGCAGCTTGACATCCCAATTGTGTTGGCTTTTGCTGGTAGGTAGGCTCTGAGCTTCTCCTGGTGTCTTCAAAAATCCCCGCCTTGAGGTATTTTGCTCGCTAGTTTGTGTGCAAAATGCGAGGTTGTGATTTCCACCCTAAATTTCCGTACGAGGCATCCGCACCGCTGAGTGGTCTGTGCCTTGTCTAGACATCTGACAAACTCTTACAGTCGTTTGGGGGGGTGGGTGTGTTTAAAAAAAAACCACCAGTTTTTGGTAATTCAGCCCCCAGTTGCTACTGCTGTAGCTGCTAGATGGAATTTGTTTTAGAGAGCTTGATTCTTACCAGTTAAACATTGCTTCGGCTTGGAACTTTATATGTGCACTGAGCTTCTGGACGAGGTCAAACGCAGGGCAGCCAGTCATTTTATGCTGTCTAGCTCTGTCAAATTGTCTTACATGAGTGTAATACTGCCTCGGTTGCATAAGTAAGAAAGCTGAAAAGATATAAATGTCAAGATAGCCAAGTTCCCACGGAAAACTGGTTTAGAACTGGAGCTTATATTAAAGCTCATGTTACTTACTGGCCTAATTAAACTAGACAAGGCTTTATACCTGCCAAATGTATAAATAAAGTCTGTGGCTGCATTGTGCTGATGCAGCCCCTCGATAACAGCAATATCTTGTCAGGTGTTTTACTTCTTCAAGGGGTTCGTTTTGGTGGGAGATGACGCTTCCCTGGAGTGGCAAGCATTTTTATAGAAACAAATCATGAAGTCGTGTGAAATGTGTTTTGCAGCCCGAAAGAATGATTTATTTACAGTGCTGTATGGTACAGAACTCGCATCTCATCTGTGCAAGCATCACCTCTTCTGCTTCTCAGCTGAATAAATCACACGTTAGCAGTAGCTGACATTTTGCATTGTTTCCCTAAGAAAGACATTTTTGCTTGGCGCCGTTTGATAGACTCGGCTTAATGCACTTTCCTTTTTGGGATTATTCCCTCTAATCTTTTATTTACGCAGCATTTTTATTGAAGTATTTAGAAGCAAATGTACTTCTGAAGGTACAATATGCTTGTAAATTTAATATTCACTTTCATATTTAGGAAGAGTCCCACTCCCTCCCGCACATGAGCTGAAATCCAAGTGGGAAAACCTGCTGGGACCTGAATATGAAGTTATGGTATGTTATCTTTCAATAAACTACATCTGTGTATGTTATTTCTTTAAATTACAGATCTGTGAGCTTAGCATTATAGGCTGTTTATAGAACAGTTTAGTGTTCAAAACAGGTCAGTAACGTCAAATTTTCTTTCCCGTAACATCAAGGCTGAAGTATAGGAATGTTATAATGAGTTTGTTTGGGGCTTTTTTATTATTTTATTTATATAGATACTATTGTTACACAGGAGCTGTGTGCTAGACAGGAACATTGATTTAAGAAAATCAACTGTCCTTCTAAATCTGCATCACAGCAGCCACTTTTGTGGCATTTTTATGATTTCATTTATGATCTATTTGTTTTATCACACACCTGGAAGAAAAGGCTTAGGGTAGAGCTCCTATGTTTCAGAAAGCATCTTAACATTTTCTGAGAGGGGTGAAAGAATGATGTTCAAACTTTCTGAGAAAATAGGAAGTAACTCACAGTAGTGTAACTTTGTGGTGCCAGTGCCTGTTAGACATTCCTTCACTTTGTATTAAATAATTGCCAAGCAAAAGATTGTTCTGATGAATCGTTGTAAGGAGTTGACTGAAATTGTAATTCACAACTGCATTTCGCTGCTGTGTTAACCAGTGAGTACAGATGAAAAACTCCAGCCAGTGTTCTTTCCAGAGACTTAAAAAATTCTCACCACCACCACGAAAATGCCCTGCCTGTCTTTCTGATGCTTGTCCAGTTGATTTAGAGACACTTGTTTTTACTACTCGGAGTAGCCATCATTGCAGTCACTTGGTGGAAGATTTAAAGGAGCTTTAAGAATGGCTTTGAGAAACACGCTTCTCTTCTTTCCATTAGCACTCCTTTAAGATCTGAAGTTCGTGTAAGATTATGTACATGATGCAATAAATCTGTTTGGCTCCCCACTTCAGTTGCTTGGTATTCCCATCCTTACATTTCAAGAGTCTGAGATTACTTCCCTTAGCACTATCACGCTTCCCACAGAGGACGAAAACCTGCTTAGTTCAGGAAACCACCCGTTTCTAATTCTTCTCCAGCTGCCGCCAGTAAAATGTCAGGAGTGAAAATGTTAATGATTGGTCCTTTTAAATAATAGGAAGGAACCGTTCTGGCATCCCATTTGGAAAGTAATTTTTCTGTTCTTCCAGTCTTTGTCGTCCTTACCTGCCTCTAGTCTTGCCTGGCTGCATTCTGTAACAACATTTAGTTTGATTTCAGCCTGATATCGCAGTCCCCGCTTCATGCTGACCTCGCTCCTACACTCAGCTCCCAGAAAGTCACCCTGAAGTGCCTACAGGCTCGAGTATTCTCTCAGAAGTATTTATCTTCTGAAGAAATAGCTTTCTGAAGAGAGGGTTTGGGCCACTCATGGGTTTTGTGCTGCTGATCCTTTGTGACACAACAGAAGAAGCCGAGATCCCATCGAAACAGAAAGAGACCCTGTGGCTGTGTGGGGTTTGGTGCCAGGTGCCTAAAGCGTGAGGAGTTACCGGTCATGAGTTCATTTAGTTACAACCGAACGGACGTGAAATGGATTCTTCTGCCTGTTGGGAAAAACACCCTACGTGCCCGAAAACAAGATGCTGGAAGCCCCATTTAAAACCAAGCCAAAAGAAGAAGCTGAGGCTTATAGTATTCTTTTTGTTCAACTAGCCTGACATTACCTGATTTTTTTGCAAGGCTGTATGTTTTCCAGATCTAACAAATGTAGCAGTCCTCCCAAACGTATTCAACTTCAGCGTCCCAAACTGCAACCCTGGGCCATAGATCACTACAGATACCATCTTACTACATTTAAAATTGGCATAAATAACCTAAGATTATATTATAGATAAATAAATTACGTTAAAGAAGAACATTGCAAGAAAAAATGGTGGCGAGCACAGGTATTCTATTAATATTTTAAAAAAAAATGAAGATATACTGAAGGGATTTCTTGTCATCATTTTAAATAATCCACTTTGCACTCAGAGTTGGTAATTAAGGTCAGGTATTTCAAGCCATGGCAGAAGCATGCTGCAGAAGGTGGTGCTTTAGTCTAGCTGTTGGCTGTCCTATGTTAGATGGCCGTACTATAGCCCAAAGTACTTTTTGAATTCTGATTGGCAAGTCAGTTTGGGTATTTGTGTCAAACAGAATGACATTTTGTGCTTATACAGGATTACTGAACTTAACTAAAATTGGCACTCGGGCACTCGGGAATAATATTGGAGTGTGCTAATAGTGCATAATCACCACGTTCCTAGTGGCAAATGTTCTGTATCTGAAAGATTTTTCTAATGTTTGTTTAAAATTATTTTGCATTAACGTGACTTTGCTTAAGTACAGTTTATTTTGCTTATCTTTTTTTATTTTGCCGCACTCCACCGTCCTGGTGAAGTCTTTATTGTCCTGCTATTGAAAAAATATTATGATGTGCAATTTTTAGGTTGTGAATGTGGATATGCCCATTACAGATGATTTGGAGCTCCAGAAGTACTCAAAGGTATGGCTTACACGACGGTTTCCTTCATGATATATATTGGCAGAATAATCCCAGGAGGACACGACACAATTCCAGACTTATATTTTTCAGAAAATAAGTAGCTTTGTGGCTCTCTCTTTCCAAAAAAAGGGCTGCAGATATTCCACTTATCTTATGGACTGATCCAATACCTTCTTGTAGCGAGGGCAAGATGAACTTTTTAACACACACCTACCCTGAACCATAAAAAACCTCCGCAACCCAAACTATGCATATAATCCTCAGATTTTGGGGTGCTTAATTGCATTGAAGTTCAGTTGTTGAAAGCTGCTCCAGGATGGAGCAGCGGTTGAAACTCTGCTGAACAATGTCATCGTCCTGCGAGGGAGTTTGCCGTTGTGATCCTGGCTCTGGGAGAGGGACATCCATTCAATACCAAGGGTCAGAGCTGAAATTAATTTCAGTCTTTGGAGAGATTTTCAAGATATGCATGTTAATATTATGCAGAAGACATTTGTGGAGGTGATGCATTTCCATACTTGTGGCGATTTCTCAGTGAAGAAAGGCCATAAACTCATAATCCATTCATAGACTGGCCTAGGCTGGAAAGGACTTTAGAGATCATTTAATCCAACCTCCCTGTCATGGGCAGGGACACCTCTCAGCTAGATCAGGCAACGCATGGGGACCGAGCAGGGATCGAACCCGCGACCTTGGTGTTACCAGCACCGTGCTCTAACCGACTGAGCTAACTGGCCCCCCAGACCTGAGAATTTTGAAGATCAATGGATTCTCCTTTTACCCAAATATCCGGTATTACTTTGGAACCAGCAGGACAGTCAGTGTTTCAACTTAAATAACAAAAAGCCAGAAAGTGCCAAGTGGAAGGAACAGATACTGGTGATCATCTCCCTGCTCTCTTGTCCTGATAATGTATCCGTTTTCTGCTAGTCTTCTGAATATTAGCAGAACTAACGGTTGGAGGCTCCCTAGGGAAAAACTCTTGAATTAAGGAGGCCCACTGGGAAGAGGCTGACACAAAATCAGTGATTTCACCTTGCAGAAACAAGGATGCCAGTATTATTAGCTCTTCTCAGAGGATGCTTCATGGGTATTTTTCCTACCTCAAAGTTGTGTAGCTCCTAAAGGAGCATGACAGCTGATCTTGTTTAGATGGCGATTATGGAATTTATTTCAGTTTTTTTCAAAGCTCACCTTCTGGGTAGGGAAGGATTTAGGTGGTACTTGGCCCTGCATTTTTTCCAGTTTGGTAACCTTATTGAAGAACACAGTTCAAATTATCTTTTTCCCCCAAAGGGCAGATTGATTTTATTTGTGCAGTTTGTACAGAGAAATTACAGACACTTGTGCTGTATCGCAGGTGATACCAGTATGAAGATCTAATCGTTGTACTGTGTGCTTGGTTTAATTTGGTGAGCTACTGAATCCTGCATGTGTTTATGTTGTAAATAAAGATATACTCATTCTCAGCCATACTTATCTTTTGGCAGCTACTGCCCATCCACACTTTGAGATTAGGAGTTGAGCTTGACACCTTTGATGGACATCATTATATATCATCAATTGCTTCTGATGGCCAGGCTGCAACACTCGGTCTTCTGCAAATGGAGGATGAACTTCTAGAGGTAAAAAACCAAAAGGAGCAGCCCCCCAAAATCGAACTGATGTATTTCCTGTTTGCTAAATTTGCGCTAAATTCTAGTTTAGCTGCCGCGTGTGCAGTGGGAGTATTCAAGAGTTGGTTGTGGAAGCAGTTAGAGGAGCGCTTTGGAAGTCTCTTGTTCTTCATTGCTTCATTCTTCCTTTACAGACAAAATGTCAAATTCTTGTGACCTCTTACTGACTTCGTGTTTTCTTTTTTTTCCATGACTATCGAGAATTAGAAGGGCAGAGATAATATTTGTGTTGAATGTGTTTGTATCTGTAGTTCTTTAGCTCAGTCTTCTGATCAATTTGGCATTAGCTGTTGTGGTAGATAATCCTTCTTAATATTTGTCACTCCTAAAAAATTTACAACAGTCTCAGGAATAATGCTTCTTGTTATGCATCGTAACTCGCTCGTTGAGTGTCGAAAGACATTTGTGTGTATGAGCCAATACATCGGTTTGTTTAAATATGTATGAAGAGGTATTGGGGCAGCTTTAAAGTTATGGGAATCAGAATAGACCTATTTGCTCAGGAAAAATATTTATTTGATAGTATTAAAATAATGCCTATTTTGTGTGTATATCTATCAGTATCTCAGCTTGCAAGTGAAAAGACATTAACTCCCTATTGAATACCTACTCTTTATGGAGTATTTTGCATTTGAACCCTTTTTTAGTGGATGCAAAGAACGTTTAATTGGCATCGATGGGAACAGAATTAGGCCTTCTGAAAGATTAATTTGTTAGGTGTACAGCTCTCTTGCTTTTACTTGTTGTTCCCCCTTTAACATCAAAAATTCATACCGATATCACTAAGACCTAAAACATTTTCTTCAGTTACTGCTTAACGGAGGAAATCTGGATTCTTAAAGGAGGGAATTAATGGAATGCTGGAAGCGTTGTTTAGATTACTGGGCCGCTAAAGAAAAAAATTGTATACGAAAAGTAATGATGCAGTGCTGTAGAGTAACTCAGGAAACTTTAATTGTATATATTTAACAGTTTTACTTATTACTGTGTAGTTATGATTAAGTTCACAGATATGTCCAGACCTAGTAAGCATAAATCTTTTTCTACTCTGGAGCTGGAAGAAAACCCCAACAAAATAAAAATGTGCTCTGGGGCTAAAGCTGTATATACCAGGTTTAGCCCAGCATATGTTTTTGCAGCCAAGTTATAAATCCCCTTAAGGAGAGGTTTGCAATGGAAAAAGTGACAGCCTCGTTCCCCAGACAAGCAGCTCTACCTGGGCCTGATACAGTTGGGATTAAAATGTGATCAGCAAGGAATTGTTTTTAATATATAGTGAGGTCAAATGTTGATTATTTTTAATGACGTGTTTGAATTATGGTAGAAGTCATGGTATTTTCTTCCCCGCCCCCTTCTAATTTGAGCTAATTTCATTGTGGGATGGTGGGTTTTTTTAAGGAGTAAATTGCTTCCTTGTGTGTTTCTAGTTTTGTTATAAAATTGCCTGCGCTCCTATTCTATGGCCCAGCTAACGAGAGCGGTGTGGTGTGTGAACGGGGTGCAGGGCACCTTGCTCACTTAGAGGCTGCCTTCTGGCAGCTGAAAAAGAAGAGCTGGGAGTCCCCAAGTCTGCTTGGGAGCACGTCGTAGTTCTTCTCCATCAATCACAGTGTGCTGAGACGTGCTGGTAACTTTCCACCACACCGCCACTCTCAATGCATTAAAAAATCCTTACGCGTAGATCCTTCTGCTTAAATAATTAACTAATGGGTTAGCCTGATAGCTCAGCAGTTGCTGTAATTCTTACAGAAAAAAAACCCCAAACCACCCGTAGCAGTTTGTCTTACCATGTTGGAGGCCAGTTACACCACTTTGAATTTTTCTCCTTGGCTGGGTTATAGTGTGAGAGGAACTGTGTGTTTCCCAGCAGTATAAGCTATATTTAAACTGCAAAAAGCACAAAAAAATAAGTGGGTTAAAAACAGAAGTGATCAGGAAGAAAATGCTGAGATTGTTATGTAGTTTTGAGTCCCTCTAAAGAAAAAGGAGATCAGGGTAGTATAAGGCGAAGCTTTGCCTCAGGTACACATGCACAGAGGCGTTTGTGTTGTATAGTTACGGACAGAGGTGTTTGTGTTGTATATTTATGTGCTACATTTTCTAGGAGCAAACGTGAGTTCACCTGCAATAGCATTGTGGTTTGGGTGTGGAGTGAAATATTAAGAAAATCTTCAATTCCCTCCGTTTACTGTGCTTTAGTTTGTGTTTTGGATGGACTTGGATGATGTGCACTGGATTCCTAAACCAGTCATTGCACTCCAGCGACTTGGGACGTTTGGTCATGAGAGTAGACCTGAAGTAGCCTGAAAGAAACCCCAGAAATGCAGGGGGTGTTGGGATTGGGTCTGTAGCACTAGTGGGGTTAAAAGCCTGCTCTTCTGGGGCTGCGCTACTCGTCAACGTAAATGATGATCACATCTGTGACACCTGCTCCTCTGCATTCCTCACAATATTGTGGGTTATAAAATACATAACAGAAGATGAATCCTTGCAGTTTTGTTTTCCTGAGGAAGTACAACTGTAGTATCCCAATTTTTAAGCAGCATTATTATCTATCTGTCTGTCTATCAATCTGTCTGTCTATCAATCTGTCTATCAATCTATCTGTCTTTTTTTTTTAAGTCTGTGGTTTAAAACATCCATCCTCTTAATTATCTTAGTGTGAATGTGTATTTCACCTTCCGTGTAGGTAAACGGAGTTCAGCTCTACGGCAAATCACGGCGTGAGGCAATCACTTTTCTAAAAGAAGTGCCACCCCCATTTACATTGGTTTGCTGTCGGCGACTTTTTGATGATGGCAACGAGTCTCTCGTGGATGAACCCACTGTGGGAGTTTCCCCTCCAGAAGAAAAGGTAGATTTCTCATATCCTTCAATTGTGTGAAAGGACCAGAACTTCTGGAAAAAGTACATGTGTTTCTGAGAAAGGGATTTAGCTTTCTGAAGACAACGTTTGTGTTTCCTTTAGCTGTTTGATCCAGCCCACTGGATCAGTCTTAAATAACATTTCCTAAAATATATAGTGACGTGAGGCGGTTTTGTATGAAATTGTCATATAAAGCTGCCTTTGCTGTTCACTTTGGACTCGTAAAGGGCAGCTGGAGTTTCAGTGAAAGACAGTTCCTCTTTGCAGTGCTGGTGCTTTTACTACAGTTTCTACAGATTGGTCATGAGAAACTTCGTTGTACTATAAATACAAGGTAGGTAAATCACCGAGCTAGCACGCTGACTATGGACATCCCATTCATCATTCTTACACTCCATAGGTGAGTGAGAGCTCTGAATTACACTAAATCACATCCTCGCCACCATTAGCTGATTACTCCCATGTTCTGAGTAGTTTTTTATAGAACTGGGAAAAAAATGAATCAGAATCACGGAAATTTCATGATGCTTCCTGTTGCCGAAGCTTTCAAGTGTCAGACTAAAGCTTGACACTTGTAAGGGTTGTTCCAATTTACAAGAAGTATTTACACCTTGACTTCTCATCTTTTGTGGTGTTTTTGGTTCCAATTTCCTCTAAGGTGAAGAGTTAAACAAGAGATGGAAAAAAAAGGTGGACAGTATTCTGCTTTTTTGTAAAAGGCCGTTTGTCTTGCAACAGAACTTGTTCTGCTGTGCTTTTGATGTTGTATTCTACTGAACATTTTCCACGGGTGTCCTGTCGGTTGCACATCTTTGCCATGAGGTCATATTGAGTGTCTGCTCTAGAGCACAGCATTTCACAATATTTCTGCTGTCTTTCATGAAAAGTATC